AAAGTAATTTGATTAATCTGCTAACTTTAATTACAGATACGCGTGCATGGTGAACGACCAATTCGTGAAGATAATTGCTCTTCAGTTCGGAGTAAGCACGTTGGTAATGTGTTCCAATTTATTCCAATTGGCTATAGCAACAATTGACGCGAATATTGTGCCATTGATACTTTATACGGCCTGCACTTTATCACAGATTTTTATCTACTGTTGGTTTGGAAATGAAATTAAAATTAAAGTAACATAATTTATATAGAATAGTAATCTTACACTACACGTTGAAGATGAATTAACATGTTGAATGTGAACCGTGAACGGTTATTGGTGATTATGATACTACCGTGTCTCACTAATAAGTAACACTACCCAACTGTCACTCACCGATGCCAATGAAATTTGGCATGCACATTAGTAGAACATTGAAAAATATTGAACACATGTCTTTTTATATCGCCTGACAACGCATTTTAAGGGTGGAAATTACCCCTTGATCCTTGAACATGAAAGCACTATTTCAACCCTTTGTAAATATTACATGTGATTTCCGTCAAACTTGTCTTCCATTGAACTAGTCAGGGAGGAGTTTTAGGGTCGCTGATTACGAATCTGGAGATACAATTACAAAATTCAAGATGGCAGACTCAATATGGCGGACCAAAATTATAAAAAGATGGCTGATTTAAATCAACTTTGATACCTAGAGGTTTTTGGGGCCTTTAATTACGAATCTGGTGATAAAATTACAAAATTCAAGATGGCGGAATATGACAGATGGCAGAATATGACGCAATATGACAGATCGAATTTGTATCAGTGAAGGAGAATATTGCCTTAGGCAATTACATTTAATGAATTTAACAATGAATCGGTATTCAAAATTGACCTGTATCGTCAGTTTTTTCAGATTAGGAAGTTGGTCTTCCAAAAGATTATTATCCGTCAATATCCGAGCGGCATATGTAATTATATTCTGACATATCTTGAAGATATAGATAAAGATATCTTGATCTCTTAAGCTTTATATTTATTCATTTATTTATATTCTATTTATTTGTATACTTATTCATATTCATGCATATTATTTATTTAAATTCTGAACTTGAACAGCAAAAAATCTATTAATATTCAAAACGTTTATCTTAACGTCCAGAAAATTTATATAACTAGTATCCTTAAAAGTTTACAATAAACCTTCTTAAAGTCTTACAAGTAAAACATATTACAATAATAATGATAATAATAATAATAATAATAATAATAATAAAGTGTGACAAATGAATTATATTTTGACTTCCAACTTCAGATTCGTAATTAGAGGCCTCATAAACTTCCAGATACCAAAATTGGTTTGAATCAGCCATCTTTTTACAATTTCGGTCCGCCATATTTGGTTCGCCATCTTGAATTTTGTAATTATACGAGGGCGGTCCGATAAGTACTTAGCCTCACCGCCCGATGGCACCACTATCGCAAGAGAAATTTACTATCGTGTAGTACATTCTCGTAGACGGCTATTGTCGAAATTTCAGTCGAATCGGACTCGTAGTTTTGTTTTGACCGCGTGTGGAAGCGGGCGTGTCCGCGGATTTTAGAAAAATGGAAAAAGAGCAATATCGGTCGGTGATTCGATTCTTGTTTTTGGAAGGGAAATCGCGCAGCGAAATCAAAAAGCGCTTGGATGCTGTGTACGGTGACTCTTCTCCTTCGATGGCAACTGTCAAAAATTGGTTTAACGAGTTTCAACGTGGCCGCACGTCGGTTTTTGATGAGCCACGCCCAGGTGCCCCGAAAACGGCTACTACGGAGGATAACATGACAAAAATCCACGATCTCGTATTGGCAGACCACCGATTGAAGGTGCGCGAGCTAGCTGAGATAGTAGGCATATCAAAAGACCGCGTGGGTCATATCCTGCATGAAATTTTGGGCATTAGAAAGCTGTCGGCGCGATGGGTGCCGCGTTTGCTCACTCCGGACAACAAGCGCGTGAGACCACTTCAGAGCAGTGTTTGACGCTGTTTAAGCGCAATCCGAAGGAGTTTCTGCGTCGTTTCGTGACCGTCGACGAAACATGGATCTACTGGTACACACCAGAGACCAAGGAACAGTTGAAACAGTGGACTTCACCCGGCGAACGTGCTCCGAAGAAGGCGAAGACTGTCCTATTGGCCGGAAAGGTGGTGGCCACCGTTTTTTGGGATTCACAAGGTGTGATCTACATCGACTACCTGGAGAAGGGCAAAACGGTCACAGGACTGTACTATGCCGAATTATTGGGCCGATTCGACGCCGAATTGCAGAAAAAACGGCCCCATTTGGCGAAGAAAAAAGTGCTCTTCCACCATGACAACGCACCAGCTCACACCTCCGCCCTCGCCACGGTCAAATTGGTCGAATTGGGCTACGAACTGCTGCCCCATCCACCGTATTCTCCAGATTTGGCCCCGTGCGACTTCTTTTTGTTTCCAAACTTGAAAAAGTCACTCGCCGGGCAGAAATTTGAGTCGAATGAGGAGGTCATCGCCGCCACGGAGGCCTACTTTGCAGACCTCGAAAAAACGTATTTTTCAGACGTGTTAAAGAAGTTGGAGCATCGCTGGGTCAAGTGTATCGAGCTAAAAGGAGACTATGTTGAGAAATAAATCGCCACTTTTCCAAAATTTTCGTTTTTCTTTTGTAGGCTAAGTACTTATCGGACCACCCTCATATATCCAGATTCGTAATCAGCGACCCTAAAAACTCCTCCCTGACTAGTTCAATGGAAGACAAGTTTGACGGAAATCACATGTAATATTTACAAAGGGTTGAAACAGTGCTTTCATGTTCAAGGATCAAGGGCTGATTTCCACCCTTAAAATGCGTTGTCAGGCGATATAAAAAAACACGTGTTAAATATTTTTCAATATTTTACTAATGTGCATGCCAAAGGAGGAGGGTCAATAAGGCCGGTTTTTGGGCCCACCTCCGATAGGTCTCAAAGTACATCATTTTACTCATCTAAGTGGGCCTCATTACATAGTGTAAGGATTTTTCTTAATAATGATTTAATTAAAAAAATAGGCATTTTTATATTCCCATTTTACATGGGTTTCCGTACCTTCGATCAAATGATGCTGGGTTTCATATTGTTAACATTGCTCATGCAAGATCATACTTTCCCAAAAATTGCATATACAGGGTGGTTGATTATAAGTTGCCAACCCGAAATGTGAAGCTAGATTGGGTTAAGATAAACATAAAGGTCCCATACCGTTTTGCGAGATTCGCAATAATTATCGAGTTATTAATGACAGAAATCTGAGGAATGAGAGCGCGCCGACATAGATAATTGGAGAAGCGTTGCAGCTGCTTAGGCCGCAGCGCAGCCCAGTTGATCCAGAAACTGTTGCCGGTGCGCGGCGAGGGGAAAGACAATGCGCCGCTATTCGTTGTTTTATCTCGCCGGACCTACGTCTCGCCGCACGTCGCCAACAGTTGCTGGGTCGAGTGGGCCGCGCTGTGGCTTGAGTAGCTGCAACGCTTCTCCAATCATCTATGTCGACGCGCTCCCATTCCTCAGATTTCTGTCATTAATAACTCGATAATTATTGCGAATCTCGCAAAACGGTATGGGACTTTTATGTTTATCTTAACCCAATCTACCTTCACATTTCGGGTTGGCAACTTAATAATAATCAACCACCCTGTATATATGCACTACAACGTATGTCAGAGCCATCATTTTTCTCGAGGTACTTCGCCTTTAAAATACAATTTTTTGCACACTTTATTATGCTTGCGTCCGCAAAAGAAGAACAAATCCTTTATCTCAAAGAGAATTCCTTCAAAAAAACATCAAAACAGATGAAGATCAACCAAAACTGATGGTTAATGAGACAAAATATATCGTTCATGTGTGACTGCGTCTGCATCAGTGAGGGCCGCCGGCAAAGCAAATCGGCCACGACGGCAGTAGTTCGCGCGGCCACCGTCGTGGTCGATTTGCTTTGCCGGCGGCCCTCACTGATGCAGACGCAGTCACACATGAACGATATATTTTGTCTCATTAACCATCAGTTTTGGTTGATCTTCATCTGTTTTGATGTTTTTTTGAAGGAATTCTCTTTGAGATAAAGGATTTGTTCTTCTTTTGCGGACGCAAGCATAATAAAGTGTGCAAAAAATTATATTTTAAAGGCGAAGTACCTCGAGAAAAATGATGGCTCTGACATATGTGTAGTGCATATATATACGCAATTTTTGAGGAAGTATGATCTTGCGTGAGCAATGTTAACAATATGAAACCCAGCATCATTTGATCGAAGGTACGAAAACCCATGTAAAATGGCCATGTAAAATGGCCAATATAAAAATGCCTATTTCTCTGAATTAAATCATTATTAGGAAAAATCCTTGCATTATGTAATGAGGCCCACATAGATGAATAAAATGACATACTTTGAGACCAATCGGAGATGGGCCCAAAAACCGGCCTTATTGACCCTTCTCCTGTCATTGGTGAGTGACAGTTGGATAGTGTTACTTGTAAGTTAAATATAGAACAATGTGTAAATGAGAAATTATACACTACTCAAAAGAATTATGACATAGATAATATAGGTCTGCATGATTTTGTGTTTTGAATTTCAATGGTCATTTCCTACGTAATTTTGTCCACTGAATACGAATCCGGCCTTAGAATTTCTCTATCACGTCAGGTTTTCGAGATAATTATAACTTAAAAATTAAAAAAATTGAAACCAATAAAATGAAAGAACATATAATACTTTATTGTACACAGTAAGAAAAAAATGAAAATAAAAAGATAGGATTCTTTGGAAGTTATTTTTATATTATACACCAATTAAAAACATCATTGTTAACATGGTGAAAATTTTTTAGGAAATTATGACAATAGAGTCTTGATTATTCTGAACTACTTGCGTAATTAATGCCATTTCATTGATAAAAGTAGGAACTTCACAGAACTGACGTGAAATTAATGCAATATTACGTTTGTAACACTATGCTGCAATAATAAATTGATATATTCTGTTCCTCCTTATCATAACATATCATTTAAAGTGTGTAGAGTATTTACATATTTCATTTGTTCTCTTTAATACATACATTTTTTTTAATGAAATAGCTTCGCGCAAGTGTAAAAACGATCTTGATAAATTTTGCTACATCTATGGTGAATACGTTCCGCAAAAGCAAAAAGTTCCTATAACTTAAAATAACAAAACATTATTTTCA